AGGCATCGTCCAGTCTGCAGTGGCATCACGCGCCCTTCTGAAATCGGCAAAGCCAATATTTGCTATTCCAAAAAAAAAAAAAATTACGCTGTGACTTCTTTAATCTGTAGGGTGTTGCTGGCATACCCCCAGATGCGTATATTCTATATCATTTTTCCTGTGAAAATGAAGAAACTATGTTTATAGTGCTGACAGTGTCACTGAATACACATGGCTTTGTGTTAACAGTCCTTTTTTTTATGGTAATAGTTTTAAAGGACACACTGGAGAAAAGGGGTGCGCTTGGGCAAATAAAAGCAAGGATTCGAGCGGAAGTTTTTAATGCACTGGATGACCAAAGCGAACCACGGCCGCCACTGTCCCATGAAAATCTCCTAATCAATGAACTCATTCGTGAATACCTGGAATATAATAAATATAAATATGCAGCATCTGTTTTAACTGCAGGTATTGAGGCAGATATACGATTTTCAACTGATTTTTATTGTCATCACTGTCTTAAGAGATATTCAGTGTTCAGCTGAGTAATTCAGCTGGGGTTATGACATTAATAATTGTGACCAAGCTACACCATCTTGTCTTCCAATGGAAATAAATAAGGCACAAACGTGTTCTCTCTATACGGCCTTATTTGCAGTATTAGGCTAAATGATACCATTAATTCCCAAGAAAACTTATTCTTTGCTGTTTTTCCATAAGGCGAATGCTTTGACAGAGGAATTAATGCATGGGGAAGAAAACTTTCCAGCAGCCTGCAAAATCAAAATACCTTTCTTGGAAAGTCCACTTTTGTTTTGGAAAATGGTTAACGATATTTTTAAAGCATATACCACACTTTTTTCTTACTAGCATGTGGGTAAAATAAATAATGGCAATCCTACAAATGAAGGAACAGAATTCTTTGAGAAATAATCTAAAGTAAATGTACATAAAGTAGCTGATAGTCTGCTTATAACAATCCTGGCAATTCATGCATATGAATTACATCAGAAACTGAGTTATACATTCTGTGTTTAAAATATATGAAGAACATTCATGGTTTTGAACAAGTTATACGTTACTGTTGTTGGCTATTCTAAGTTATCAGTATTTGAGAGCTGTTTAGACTACAACATCCTCTAAAAGGTAGCTGTGGTTTATATACCACATGCATGCATTTACTGCATGCATTTTTTTTGCTGTTTACAGCTATTGCTAACTCGTACTTGAAATGCAAAGTTCTGCAATTTGTGCAAGATATTACATTGGCTGTATAATAATTTGATATGTTAGTAGTTTTCATTCTGTTAAAACTACAGACACACGTTCATATCACGGGAGAGAGGAAACAGAGGTGTAGTCTATGTTGTAGTTAATGTGTGCAGTCTGTTTCATAACAGTACTTTTCTAGAGAAGAAATAGTTTACCTGATTAATTCATCATAGTACTATAAGATTTCTTTAATATTTTTCTTAGATTCCTTTAGAGTGAAGATAAACATCATAATATGCTATTGCAAATTGTATTACTATGAAACACTTCTGTTTAAGTGCATTTCCAAGAATTACAATATAAAGTTAGATATTTCCAGTCTAAAAGTAAGGTGTGCACTCTGATTCTCAGACTTAAAAAGGTAGGTTGGTGATATTTTTCATACCAGTCTTAAGAATTATGTGGAAATTTCTTTTTCAGAGTCTGGCCAACCTGAAGTGCCCTTGGATAGAGAATTTCTTGTCAAAGAGCTGAATGTAGTCGAAGATGCAAATGGAAAATCAATGTAAGGAATGTTTTTGGAAAGCCTAGTATATTCTGTTTTGCATATAACATTCTTTGGGCTGTCAATAACATTCACTTCTCTTTAGTATTATTAGAAATCACATTTAAATGTTACCTCCCCAATTGGTAATGTGACTAGATCTCATATCTAGTCTAACACGCAAGACTGAAACTTCTGATAGGAAACATGGGCCCATTTTCAAACACATCCAAAATTCAAAACTCAAATGTAATTCTGCCAACTCTGTAGCACTCTCCAAATAGTGTATTTGCACACAGAAACACAAGTCTTACCAGTAAAGTCTTCCCTACAGTCAGAGGTAGAGAACAGATATGTTCTTTGCATATCTCTCAGTTTTTGTAGAGCAATAAAAAGATTATTGTATTCTGACATTAGATATAAATTCACAATATGATATGACGTGGTCCTTGAGATGCAGCACTGAAACAAGTTTGTGCAGATAATGCTCAGCGGTCTCTGTAATTTGAGCTCAAACCATCTGTCCTGTGATTAGGAAGAATCAAGTCTGGGAAGTCTGGTGGTGACTAGCTTGCTTAAGTCCCATACTTAATACTGCATGAGTGAAAATGTGGGTCTGTATTCATGTGCTAAGCATGCCCCGGTTCTTTGCTTAAAAGGGATCTGGAGTTTAGCTGAGAGCGTCTCTAGGTGCAGGAATTTTGAGACAGCGTTGGTCTTCAGGATGAGCTTAGGTTTGTGGTTGCTTGTACTCAACATAGTGTATTTTAATTATTGTAACTACATCTGTACATGTTCTAGGAGTAAACTTTAAGGTCTAAGAATTTCTTAGAAAGATTTTTTTTTTTTTTAATGCTCAGTATTTCATAGACTGCATAGACTTCATAGACTGCTTTTGTCGTTTTCTCTCTTAAGCAGACCTCTCTTGTATGGAATCATAGCTCATTTCTTACATGGTGGTAAAGAAGAAAGAACCCCAAGTACTATTCCAAAAGTGCCTTTACTGAACTATCCAAGGCAGAATCTCGGCAAGTCATCTGTTGAGAGAAATCAAAAAGGTGTGTGTGGTCATTTTTGCAGAAGTTTTGTTTGTGACTAGTTTTTCTGTATAATACTTATGCTTATAACCACATGAACATGGAGATGGACACAGTATGCCTTCTTCTCTATGCAAGGAATGTTTTGAACTGACGTTTTTGTAAGAAAAATTCTTCAATAGAACATTGTTTATACCTCAAAAATACCAGTAAGCTGCTTGACTTGAACACGCCTGTTACTCATCTAGTCATTTAAGAAATGTCCTATTGTATCCAGTTCATGAAAGATGCGCCTGTGAGCTGTGAAACTACCTGTATATATTCCTTTGTTTAATAGGTGACCAACTTGCAAAAGCTCTAAGGCCTGCTTCTTTTCTACTATTATGCTGATGAGACAGCATAAATGCCGTACAAAACTAATTATCCTCAGAACTGCTTGACTGGCCTTCAGATGTGTCAGTAGTAGAAATTTCCCTCTGAAATGGGTATGTGTTTTATTTAGAAAGAGGGCATTTTTAAAAATTGCCGAGAGCCAAATTTATATAATTTTTCAACAGTGCAAGGTATTGTGAAGTTCCTGTTGATCTTATGGTAGCTGTAGCTCCTTGTTAGCTACTAGACAGAAGAGGGGGGAGGAAGCAATTGTTTGTCTTTATTCTGTTAAGGCTTTTGGACTGTAAAATACTGAAAACATTTAAACTGGACAGATGTACTGTTCTAATTAGTAGATGGAAGAAAATCTGTCATGCCATTTATGCTAGGGTTTTAGAAACAAAGAGGTACTGCTGCAGTTACTGGTAAAGACCAGAAAATAATAATATCAGAAAGTATCAGTATCAGAAAGGTCATCCAACAAATTGCTGTCCTATCTGCCTAAAAGTTAAACTGGCCAAATTGTACTCCATTATACCATTACCGGTCTAGAATTGGTCAACTGAAGACAGTTGTGACTACATTGGCAATTTAATACAGGAATTTAACCTAAATGTTCAGTGAAATATATTCAAGAGCGGGCATATCTTTTTCTTTCTCATCTATGCTGACTTAATTTTTATAGAAAGAATTAATTCTTCCGCTGTTCATTCTGTATACAGGCCTAAACTCTTTTTTGAGGACATTTCAAATCCCATTGACTTCAGCAGCTTAAGCTCCGAGTTCACTGCTATAAAGTAGAACACTGCTAAATCTTGTTTTCCTCTTCTGGTATGCTCTTTGACTGGTTACTATTAGTACTGCCTAAGCTACAGAATGAAAGGGATCATTGGTCCAGCTTTTCCCTTTGAAGAGTCTGCCTGGCATATTGCTTTCTACTCTGTGGGGATTTGGACCGTTTAGTACGATCATGTTATTACTAATAGTACTATTGACTATTTTTTTTGTATCTATAAAATTTGAAAAACCTGAGGACTGAGATAGTCTTACGAAATTTAAAAAGTGTGAGAGAAGTACTGAATAAGCACCCTTTTTAATAACTAGATCCATTGAGACAATACTGTTCCTCTTCTGCCAGAAGGGGGTGCCAAAGAAGTAAAATCTCACTACCAAAACTGTGCTGTAACTAGTCTCTCCCTTAGAAAACTCTTATTCCTGACAGAAATTTCCCCTTTTTTAAATACTAAATTAAGTGCTACAGAATAATTTTTTAAACGTATAACTTTGTACCTCAGTTTTGAAATTGACTCTGTGCAGGTCACCTGGCCCTGGAGACTCACTCCAGTAGAATTTCACTTAGGGATTTAATTGTTTAGAGTCAACCACAAGACTCAAGTTTAGTTATCAGATGTTACTGCTTGTTGCTTTTTGAACTAAAGCAAAAAAAGTAAAGCTTTAAGGCTTTTAACCTTAAAGTAACTGTAGCCTGAGATTACTTTCTGCTTGTGTTTCTGGAATATGTCAGTGGAGACCTAAAGGCAGTGGGTTTAAAATACCAATTACCTAGCTATTTTAATTAGGCTGCGCATTAACGTGATAAAGCGCGTTCATAAACTCAACTTTTAGGTCTTGCATTTAACATGTAACTCGCTTTTCACAGTAGGAATTGTCTTGCTTATGTTGTTGGATGAGTGTTTCAATAAACTTTCTGGGATATAAGAAAACAGATAGCGGATCCTGATACAAAGTGTAAAACCTGGTGGTTCTGTTAGTTCCTTCACTATATCTGAGCTGAAGTTGTCTTAGATCTAATCTTTAGTAATTTATTTAATAATCTCTTATTTCATACCGTTGCATGGACAGAATACTTTATAACTGTAAAATTGCCTAAGTTTCCTACAGTGATCTGTATCAGGGTTCATATTAGCAGAAAGTAACAGTTATATCTTTGGATCTGCAGATGCATGCAAATACCTGTGAAACACTTGTCTGTGCTTCATTTTCAGATAGAATTCCAGAACCAGGAAGGATGGCTGGCATTAGCATTGAAGAGCCCCTTGTTTTACCGAGTGTAAACAGATGATCTTTCATAGGTTAATTTCTCATATAAAGTTCTTTGGGAGTTAATTAAAGAAATTATTCTTCTTGTAAGTTGTTCCATCGTGTCCCGTGGGACCACTTCAGTTTGTAAAAGCTACCCATCAGACAGGAAGACAGGGTCATATTTATTGCCAATAAAAAAATGTTAGCAAAGGACATCTTCCTCTAGTGCTGATAGAAGGAAAACTGTATATGAAGTCAGATTAGTCAAGCCTGTGTCTAGAATTGGGCCTAACAATACTGGGTTTATTTTATAAAAATAAAAATCTATCAGAAAAATTGCCATTCCGACACTTTCCTTGTGATGTTCTGTCTTTGAGTATTTTTTCCTGCGTTTTAGAATAAAAATATTCTGTTTTATTCTGTGCGGTGTTTTGAAAGGGTTCAAAATAAATATTTTAATCATTCTTTGTTAAAAAGTGGTTTTGAGGCTGTTGCTACTTTCAGGTAAGTATGGAAACATAAATTTGAAAAGAAAATTAAAATGGTTTAAAGACTAGTTTTTTGTCATTCTCCGGAAACCAGGACTATATTTATCTTCATGTCGGCACACAAATGAGGGCAAGTCTTTTCCATCTGGAGTTGCTATAAATTGTATGGTGTAAAACTAAGTATATGGGAGGGGGAGGGACTTTTGTTTTTTCCCAAAGGACATGAAGGTCAAAGTCAGGGGAAACTAAAAATAAATTGATCATAGATTACTGATTCCCAGAATTTTTTTTTAGCTGCCCTGTTTACATTTTTGAGATGGTAATTTATTTTAAAGCGAAACTTCTAGGGGTACATCAAAAATAATGCAGGTTTGTTATCTGTACTCAAAAATGAGTGGAAGAGAACGTGCAGTTTTTGAATTTTAGTAAGGGGATCCTGTGCTGGATAGTCTCTGCAAAGTTTTGCCTTAATCATGATTAGACCCACTTAGCTTTATAGGTATTTTTTATTTCACTAAGCAGCCTAGACTCTACTGTGATGTGAAATTACCGAGAACGATTATGGGAATAATGAAAGGGGAAGCTGCATTTACCCGTTTCAAAGATCAGCAGTGAGCTCACCCCCTCCCTGTTACTGGCCATGCTGCATTTGCTGATTGACAAGTCTCTCAGGACTGGTCCTGTGGGGGGGGGGGGGGGGGGGGATTTATCTCATTGAAGTCCATCTTTAAGGCATTTTGTAGCTTTGCATCAATTGTAATTGACTGTTGGGTTAAGCAAGCCAATTCATCCCTATGTATACACTGTCTGTTTGCTCTATGTTAACGCTACCATGAAATCCAACTGCAGAGCTGAAGATCCACGTAAAAGCTAGCATCAGGGGAGTCTGCCCCATTATTACAGTTCTTTCCTGCCACATTAACAGAAATACTCATTCACAAAACCACCTATCTATCTCTTCATCAGTTCTCTCTGTAAAAGTACAGCAGAAAACTTGTCTTCTAAGCTATTATTTAAAAATCTTCATTTTGCAATGAGCTAACAATGCCTCTATGGTAAGCTGCAAAAACGAACTTTTGAAGAATGCAGATGTGATTGCTCTGGCCGCACAAAACCCTGAATTTTTAACTTTGTGGTTTTCTTCAGAGGTTAAATTCTAGATGCCACTTTCTCCATAACCAAGTGAGTCAAATTAATATGTATACTCAGAATCTGAATTGTCTTTTCAAGGGCAAAGAAAAAGGCTCTGCTGGAAAACACAGAAGCAGTAACTTTCAGTGCTATGCAAATCTGCCAGTGTAACTAAAGCCTAACTAAACTTCTGCTTTGGGTCTTCCCGGCGTAGGTCATACAGAAGCCCTCCAGTTGTCACAGAGCTCCTCAGGAAATAGATCTTCAGTGGTAGAAATGAAGTAGTATTTCTGTTTTAATAGAAGAAGGTGAAAGGAAGTTTGGTGCTCATCCTCTCCCAAGAACACAGCTCAGCATGATCATGGTCTCCACAACCACGAAAGCAGAGTCTGTTAGAAGTTATGTGCCTCACTGAGTTTTGAAGTGAAGGTGCATATCTGAAATCAGTAGAAATCCATTTTAGACTGAAGGGAATTTCGGGACTATTTTCTTTGGGACGGGCAGTAGAGGAAAAAGTTTTCAGTGCAAGGTCCTGTACTGACACAGAGGGTAGGAGCTGGCCTCTTTGCTCTCCGTGCAACATTAGTTTCATCTAATTCTGTAATACTTTCACAGTAAAGATTTTGGTTTTTCGGAACATGAGAGTCTATTGTACAAGCAAATAAGTATACTTTCAGTAATATTTATTTATACAACAAAGCTTTGAAATATATCTATGAAAATATACTTGTGTAATCACATTCTAAATGGTTTAGCATTTATCCTGAGAGTAAATGAAACATGAGAGCATCGTTCAAATTCAGACACGTAGCAAATCCTATGAGTGTCAGATTGCTTTCTTTGTTAAAAGTATGAAGAGGAAGTGCAAATCCTAAACTATAAGGGAGCACTTTTAAAAAAAAATCATCCCTTGAAAGTTTAAACTAAGCTAGTTCAGGATTTAGATGAAAATATTTCACAGCTCTTGAGGCACAGATTCAGATTGTGGACGAAATCTCTATCCCGGTAAGTACACACACAAAAATCATTTTCTCAAATAATTTAAGATGCTCTATCTAGCTTAATTATAGACTCTGAAGTCTTGCATTAACTGCCTGTATTCTTTCTACAGGCACAGAAAATGAGAAGAAGATATGAGCATGTAGAAGAAGTTTGGGGGTTTTAATGAGGAAAATGCAATTCTAAATTTTTTTGGAGACAGAATATTGTAAAACAGATTGTTAGGGACAGGAGCCAATTTTAAAAGAGGCTGTTCTTTGTCCAAGTGTGATACCACAAATGAAGGTGACAAGGAGGCAGTGCAGTTTTGTGGGGATATCAGATCTGGAAAGCACATTGGAAGAACTTAACACACAAGTTTAAAAAATGTCTTTAAAACAAAATTTTTGCCCCCCCCCC